ATGTGCTAATAAAAATTAAATTATAAATGCAAAAAGTGATAAATTGTTGAATATCTCTTAGAATAATTTGATATATTTCAACTGTTGTGTGGAATATATGTTGTACGGAGTATATAAAGTACAACCAAAGTTCTACAAGGCGCTAGACGCTAGTCGTGAGCCAACCCAATGCGTAGTGCCTACGGACCTAGGTGGGACTAGTTGGAGGCATAGAAATGACAGTTTTATCAATACTTTTGCATAAATATAATTAATAATGTTGTGTTTGTGTGTATAAAAATATATACACACACATACACATAAACATGCATGAATGAGAGTTTTAACAATTAATAATATATTATACATACTCACTCAACTTCATTATGTAATAAATACTACTTCGTATTAAGTAATAATAGCACTTGAGATTACATATAAACATGTATAGTTTTTTATTTTTAATCTTAATCTACAACTAGTACCTTTTTTCATATGCATTGTTAAAGTTAAATGTACATGTCTCTTAAAATACTAAATTAAAAAAACAATATAAAATGTTCGACGAAAAATGTTCGACTAATATAAAAAACAATATAAAATGTGTAGTGGTAATCACAACGATCCACAAAAATAATTATACCAAAACCGATAAATTTTCATATTACCATAAATGGCCACTTTGCTATGGCATAATGAGATTATTTTTTAGATTATCTGGAACTTGTTTTAGCCCTATTAATTATTTTATTACGAAGTAGTATTTATAAATTCTTTTAAAATGTTTTTCCAAAATTTATCTGGATAATCCAATTATAGTGTTCCTAAACATGTTGAAGTGTCAATACTTGGAGACCTATATTTGTCTTAACATTTAAGTAATGATTGTATACATTATTCCAAATGATTAAAATCTTCATTTCACCTTTTTTTTAAATCTTCATTTCACCATCTAAACAAATAGTTTTAAAACCTATGAAATTTTAATTGGCCCATTTTGTTACAGGGAAAAAAATTGGCCCATTTTATTAATACTTCTAAAATGGGTTCTTGGTCCACGCTAAAACTCACATTATATTTTCAAAACCCATTAGGTTTCACATTTCCCTCACGATGCCCTATTATCTTCTTTGATGTTGACACAGTTACTCATGCACGCCGATTATTGCTCTGTACACAAATTTCTTCCCACTCCATATTTGTAACTCAAATTTCTAAATCTTTCAATTATCTTTCCTTTCCTGCTGAAAATCGATACCAGCACCAATCGTTCACTCAACAAATTATCTTTACAGACCATTTGGTTGACGGTGTTTGGTTTCCTACCGGAGGGCATATATCTTACGAATATGTCATTTAAGGTACTGGGCACAATAAATCCCAAGAAGGTAATTGTTTATATCTTTTTTTGGAGTTAACAAAGTAAAAAAAAACATTACAGTACTAAAAAACAACGATTTTGGCACGGATTTTGGGCACGGATTTGACAAAATTTATAGGGCATTTGGCACGGATGCGTTAAATCCGTGCCAAATTTCGTGCCAATGTCGCTTAGTCACCAGCTATTTGGCACGTCGCTATGCCAAAAATAAGTTGCAATCCGTGCCAAACTTGACCAATCTGTGCCAAGTCTGTGCCTGTTTCGATGTTTTTTTGTAGTGTTATTTGTCATGTGATTAAATTCTTAATTTTTCAATGAAGAATATACGAGTTTGTGTTCATCGTTGGCGAAGATCATTGATGGAGATCTCAAGCAATCTCTAATAGGTATATCACCAAAAATTAAATTGTTCGTGATACGGAAGAAGTTTTTTCTAAAGCATTACTAACAATAATTGTATAGAAAAAAATGCGACTAAAGTTACTATGAATATACTCTTATAGTCACTATGATTTAAACTTTGAACACAACTATAATCACTAAAAGTTTACATCATAGTGACTAGTAATATACATTTTAAACATAACGATTTGGTTCTGATATTTTAAAATCATGTGTGGAACATATATATTTACTTATAATGCTATACAATCTCTTGAACATTTTTTTAAATTCTTACTCCAATCACATGCCTTTGTGTATGTTTATTAAAACACAATTGCACTACCTACAAATTCATTTATCTCTGATTACATATTTAAAAGTATATACCATGTTAACTACATGCATTTATAAAACTGATCACCAATAAAGCTTTATTTTTGTTAATATTCCCAAGCATTTTTTTAAAATGAAATATTCCCATGCATTTATATAACACACACACATGTGATGAAAAAAACATTACACACACATATAACCACATACATAAATGTGTACATAGAATGATATTACATATATGTGTTTATATATTAATAATGCACACACTATTAATGATACTAAATGTGTTTATGTGTCTTTGAATATTCCCCGAATGTTTTATAAACTATACATGTGTCTGTGTTTCAAATACTTTAACTAAATAGATGGGGTGGATTTGATACATAATTTAAGAATATAATGGTGAAGTTTTTGTTTTCAAATTTAAATAAAACAAGTTTTAAGTAGCTATAGACCGATAAAAGTGAAAAATGTGATATGGTTGGTTAAAATTAAAAGCTTAAAATATTTATGTTTGAACTGTGTAGCAAATGTCATTTTAATGGATTGAAGAGGAAGGTATGTGCATCAATAAGATAGAGGGCAGAGTAAAGGTTGGTTGACTCATTGAGTATTGCTTGAAGCATCATGATTTTACTATTATTTGCTTGTATGTATTCTATTATTTTGTGACCAAATCAAAAATAATTACTTTACTATATAAGGACATGTTTAAATAAAGTCATCAGACATCTTTATTATAGAAGACACACATACTCCTTATATGTCATTTGTCGCTTAACCTCATTTAGAAGTTATTAAAGATCACATCAACCTTCTCAATCACTTATTTAAAGATGACTGATATAGTTGATGATTGAATATGTACCTATGTTTTCCCCCCTTAGAGGGGAGGTTGGAGTAAAAACTCCTTCCATAAACTTTTGAACTTCAAACCTCTCGTATGAGAGAGTGAGTCGGTGACCAGCTGAGTTGTACCGCTTCCTCATATATATTTATGTTTTGAACATATGTTTCAAAATAATACATTATGATCACATATAAAATACATAATTGATGAAAATTCAACGGATGGTTTGAGTTCAATTCAGAATATGTAGTTATTTATAGATGTGCTTTGGAGGCATAGTATAACATCTAAGCAACAAGGTAAAGGAGATATCAACTTACTCTATAAGTCATGCACAAAATTAGTTGTTCACAATAAGTCATGCACAAAATTAGCTATTCACATTTCTAGAGAGAACAATACCATAGAAAATCTTCGTGACTTAACTCCACTTGGAGATTGAACAATGAAATCGATCCATTAACACCAAAAGGAAGCCTGTGTATAATCGCATGTGCATACACACTAAAGAAGAGAGACATTGCTCTTTCTTTTTAATGTAGAATAATTTTAATATAATGCAATGGGGTTTTGACCCCAAAATTACTAAAATAAGTGATGGATAAAAAAACATTTTAGTATCCAAAAACATGACCAAACACAATCTAATACCCTTGTTAGTACCCAACGACATCATCTTGGCAGTGACCTAACCCCAACGTTCCAGTGACCTAGTGTCAGTAACCTCGGTGTCCAGTGATCGACCACTCGGCCGCAACCTAATGACTACGCCACCCAGTGACCAAATTATAATGACCTTAGTGACTTCAGCCTCTAGTGACCCAACTACATGTGAACCATCCTCAGTGACCCGCTACATTGGTCATTAAGCATGTGATCACAACATTGACATGCATTCTAGCCCTTGTCAGTAACCCACAACCCCAAAACCTTTCCCTCACTCCCTAACCCCCACCCTTTCCGTATTGTCTGCCCACCCATAGCCTAACCTTTCCTAAGCTATGGGCCCAATCCCCCCCCATTCCCCAACCCTCCCTCCCTCCCTCCCCAACCTGCCCAAACATTGCCCTCATTTCCACACCAACACATACCCCTGCCCCCAAAAGCCTGCACCCCACCTCCAGCTGTGCCCCAACCACGAACCCCTTCCCCTTGCCCGACCCCTACCACCCGTAACAAAAAATCTAGATCAACAATGCCAAATTTGTGGATTACTTAAATTCACTAATCTCAAGATGTGTTAATTGGATTAGTTTCAGTATGAGACCAACCAGATCATATCAGCCCAGATCTAAGAAAGGCTAGATCTTATAATACGTGCCGAACAAACATCTACTAGACAGACTAGACCAGCTCAGATCAGTCTTAAATAGATCAGATCTAATTTGGCTCGCCCTAATTAGACCAGACTAGAACAGAACTTTAAAGGGAAAGTTTCCGAAATAGGAGTAAGCAAGTGTCGGAGATCTTCTATGTTTAGTATTCCTAAAATGAAAGTAGTATAACAACATTTTGAAGTCATTACTGTCAAAACAATTTATTAGAGCATCTTCAATGTTTTTTTTTGAGGAAAGAGCATCTTCAATATTAAAACGTTAACGGTGCATACATGGCATGAAAAATAACCAATTAAAAAACAATATATAGATTATCTCTCTCCTTATTTGAAGTATCTTACATCATTTTGGTAAATTTTTCTTCACAATGTCAAGCACAATATCTAGATGTAGACATTGTGGTTGACATTGCAGACAAAAACTTACCAAAGACACATAAGGCCGTGGAAAGAAGGAGAGAGAAATGTCATAAAATTAATATTTTGTATCTATATCTCTCATGCCACATGTGCACCGTGCACATTGTAACATTGGAGATGCTCTTATAGTATAAACATTAACATGACACTGTAATATTTAATGTCATTAATTCATTATAGGAATTTAATGACAGTACGGAGTACTTTATTTTGAGAGAGAAAAATAATACGTACAAGATTGGAGACAATTTTTATGGCAATTTCCTAAACTTAAATTTACGAATTACTTAAATTAAATTCGTTTAGTGAAAATTCACGGATGATTTAGCGTGTATGATTTGGCCTCGACCGGAGTAAACAAAAGAGCGAAATCCCCAAATTGCTGCGTTCTTCGTCTGGTCTTCTTCTTTCCCGCTGGACCCTGCAACAGCTGTATCTGGAAGCCCGATTCCTTCTTGTCAATCCCTTTTCCGTTGCACCATTTCCATGGGCTGAACCGTGACATCGTAACCGGCTGGAGAACGTAATTTGAAACTGATATAATGTACAGAGGTTCCGGAAAGCATGGCCGCGGTGGCGGCAGAGGCCGTGGCAAGCGCAACATCCCCTCATCATTTCACGCGCCACCTATCCTGAGCTCTTCTGTCGTACCAGGAGGCCGCCTATCAGTTGGAAGTGGAGCTACTCCTAGCTGCCGCGGCACTTCTTCTGCCCCCAATTCCTCTGCTGCTTCCAATGAGACAGAGGAAAATTTCAGCCTTGTTGCGGGAAATGCTTTGAACTTCTCAATGATAATCCGGCTGGTACCTGGCCTAGTGGAGGAGATCAAGCGAGTGGAGGCTGAAGGGGGTGTGGCGCAGATCAAATTTGATGCAAATGCTACTAATTCTAATGGAAACGTGAGTTCTTGAATTTTTCCCCTTTTTTTATTATATAAATTATGTTTTGATTTTGGAGTTGAAATTTTACCATCTATTTTCAAGTTGTGGAGTTGCTGCATTCAGAGAATCCTAAAGGCTGTTATATTGATGTTTGGTGTTCTTGCGGATATTGTACAATGTGTCCCTACAAAGTATGAATGTGATGAAAGTCTATAACTATTATTATCATTTGCTTTCTCCATAAAAAAGATCACAAAACAATGTGATCACTTGAGGTAGTAGTTTTATAGTCATATCTTGTTACAACTTACATGTTAAATAATAAAAAATGTACATCATGGAACATAACCAAATGATGCAAACTTCATTTATCATTGTAAAATTCCTTCCAGCTTCATCATATAATTGCTTCTCGTTGGGCTCCAAATTTACCCCCCTCGATGGCAAGGGAAACCTGACATATTCAGATTCAAAATGTTATTGGCTAATTTTATCACATTGAGGAGATTAATCCACATATACTTAGACTGCGGTAAAAAATTCCCATGGGAGACTGATCCAATGTGATATCTGAAAGCTTGAAGTATTGGATGCTATCATGCTACTACCTCCGTCCCTAAATGTTCTTCCGTAGTACAAATGGTACACGGATTAAGAAAGTGGGAATTGTGTGGTGGAGAGTCGTGCAGAGGAGAGAGAAATGTGTAAGAATTGCTGGGAACCACAAATTCTTTGCCAAAAAGGGAAAGAGAAGTTCTTTTTGGAACGGACGAAAAGGGAAAGTTGGAAGTTCTTTTAGGGACGGAGGGAGTATATTACATGTATTACAAACAATTTCCTTTGAGAAATAGAGTAAAGGAGAAGATAAAGCCTTCTCTTAAAAGCGCTGTTACTTCATGCATAAGGTTTGTTAGAGCGTAGAGAATTAAAATTCCAGCTGTTGATAGATACACTTAGATTTGCAGCCTCTAGAGGTTTTTGCAAAGCTTAGATGTCACTCACATATAGTTCTGTGATTTTCATCAACTGGCCTGCTTATTTTCGATTGACCCTAACATCAAGATTGGAACTTTTAAATCAGGTTATTAAGGTGGGCAGTAAAGACTTCAGATTCACATGGTCACGAGATGGGGGAGACCTATGTGACATATATGAAGAGCGTCATAGTGGTGATCATGGAAATGGCCTGCTAGTAGAATCGGGCAGTGCTTGGAGAAAGGTGAATGTACAGCGTGTTTTGGATGAATCGACTAAAAATCATGTTAAAATGCTGTCTGCGGAAGCTGAACGCAAGTCTAAATCACGCAAGTATGCTATATTTTTGTTGAAATACTTATCATGTGGGTGCAATATATGTATATATATAATTGGTATTTACTTTAGTGGTCCGTCTATAAATTTTGAAATAACATTGGAATCTATTTCAGTTATCTTTGCTATATACTTCATCCTTAGTCCTTATTGTGTTAAAATCGTCTGAAAATAGAGCCATCGTTTTAGACCATGGAAATCCATCTACGAAGAGTCAAGTGAAGGCAATGGCAGCTGTAGAAGGTACTATTTTGCTTCCACCTTTTCACTATCTGAACGCTTTATGATGTGAAGTGTGTGTTTGCCTGTAAGATATTTGTTTTTCCTTTGACTTTTTCAAATTATATTACTAGCACTGGCAATGTAGACAAACTTTATATTATCAGGTAATACATGGAGAGCAGGTTTCAAGCAACCCCCTTTGAAGAAAAGGAAAGCTGAACCACCTCCAGGTATTGTCTGATGAGTATATTCTCTTTTTTTCTCAATTAATTTGTTTTATCCTAATATCCCATCTAAAAACATGCTCGTTTCAATACTATTTGACCTTCAAATTAGAATTAAATTCATTTTCCCTTTTTCTCGAAATCATGACACTAACAGCAGGTGGCCCTTTTAGACCTATTTTTGAATCTGTTATCTGTGGGTTTATCTGTAGCAACTCCTTCAAGGAGAATTAGACCTTCAATTTCACCTTTATCTTTTCCAGTTCATTCATCTAGCATGCTCACTCAACCAGAGAATAAAACTGCTAGCACTGTCAAAGAAATTCATCCGAGCTATGCGATGCAAAATACGCTAGGGTCCAAAAGGAGCGCAGACACCAAACCTTCTGATCTGCGTAGCTTGTTGATATTTGCCCTAATGGAAAACCAATCAAATGGGTTGAGCCTTAAGGTATGTGTAAGGCGTTAGTTTATTTTGGTTCTTTTTGTGGCAGTTGTATCCAGTAGTACTCATTACTTAACAACTTCTAATTTGGGGTCATAGAACTCTTGTTGAATTTGTGAAAGCAAATACGAATTCATTCATTCTCTGTCAATGCATCAGGTTTTTACATGATTTCTTCTGAATTCTTAGGCCTTGGAGAAATCTGTTGGAAACGCTTTTCCCAACTCAGCAAGACAAATTGAGCCAATCCTTAAGAAGGTAATACATGAAGTGGTTCTCCCTTTTTATCAATAGGGAAAGGGCATACATACCTCACAAATACTCTGACCTAATAGGCCGTGGTGTAGCCATCTCTTTTCCTCACAATAAAGACGAGTGAATTCATTTTTGAGCTAGGCCTACAAATTGGAGAACCACTAATAAAGAGTTACACTCAGAAAAATTGGAGTAGAGGAAAGGGATTAACATCGTATGATGGTTGTGGTTTTCTTATATTTTGCACTCCCGTGATATCTCCCTAATGGGAAAAGAGTGACTTTAAAGATAAGTAGAAGCATAAGACTCGTTGTTCTTTTTAACCAACGGTTTTTCTTAATTGTCAATTTATGTAAGAATTATCAACATCTCTGACTATTGTTGTCTCATTGATCCATGTGGCAGATTGCAACCTTTCAGGCTCCAGGGAGATATTTTCTAAAACCAGAAGTGAAGATGGAAAACATCCAGACAGCTGTAGCTGAAATTGGAAGGTAATACCAATATGTTATTGCTTTTCAAGATTCTTGAGTTCATATCTTCCCAAGTGTTGTGCACAATTGGCTGAAGTGAAAAATGAAATGAGTGCCTATAAGATTACTGTGAGAATATAGTTATAGGCTAGTGTGCTTCTGTGGAAGTGTAAATTTTAGGGTGTCAAGTTCCTGCTACAAAGAAGTTGGCATTGTAAATGGACTACATAACTTGTCTTCCTCCCTCTTCTGTAGTAATATGCTCGTCTTAAAGCACTGGTGCTTGTGGTCAGATGCAACACACTTACTGGTTCTGATATTTTTATTTTTATGCTATAGTTCTCCTGAAGAGCGTCTTCACACACCACCTGCCCTCAACAAACATGGTGAGTTATCAGCTTCGCAGGCCGACTTTTCCATGATGAATGAGGCCAATGAATTGGAACAGAAAGCACTGCTGGATTCTAAAACTGAAGAACCGTGTAACCCAACAGAAGAAGTTGATATACTTGAGCAATCACCAGACTTTTCTGGTGAGAAAAAGGCCTCCGACAACAGCTTAGGGGTAGCAGAAAGCTCTAGTGATAGTGGAAGTGACAATGATAGCGAAAGTGATAGCAGTGACAGTGGAAGTCAAAGCAGAAGCCCTCGGGGAAGTAGAAGTGTGAGCAGGAGTAGCAGTGACAGTGAAAGTGATGCCTCTTCCGTCAACAGTAAGGAGGCATCTGATGTGGAAGTGGATATTATGAGCGATAATGACCAAGATGAAAAACATCAAGTGCAAGCTCTTGAGCATGGCTTGGCAAAATCTCCCATTCCAACTGGAGGAACTCAAGGTATTGAGCCTGGTCAGTTTGGGATTGATGAAAAGGATGAATATGTCCATGTTATTGATAATATTGATATTAATAAACACTTACAAGATGGTTGTCATGGCTTTGAAGAGAGCAATATCACTGATAATGTACCTGTGAAGGAAGGCAAAGAAGCAGAAGAGACTGGACTTTCATCTGACCAACATAAGAATATGGGGGGAAACCAAGTTCAAACAGCAACGTTTTATAGTGAAAAGGAGGGCATGCTTAAAAAGGGTACCAAGCCTGAGCAATCTGGTAGTATTTTTAGAGCACCTAAAACTAAGTCTGAAAGACTCTCTGATGTGAAGCCGTTTGATGATAAACACGACCGAACTAAGAGGTTAAAAACTGGAAACATAAACCAACACCAAAGTTCTGCTAGTAACCCTGTTTTTAATGAGGGTGTTTCTCAACATTCTTCTCCTGATAGAGCCCTTGAGTTATCTTCCAAGAGTGTTGGTGTGCTGGTGGCTAATAGAATGGGAAGAGAAAGTACTGATTTTTCTTCACAGAAAGGTCACAGCCAGTCCTTTTCTGGAAACTCATTTTCCGATTCTCAGCACCCAGACTCGAGACATGTTGAACTCAGTGGACTGGACAAAATTTCGGCGGAAGCTGCAGAAAAATCAGTTAAATATGGAAATACATTGAGCCGTAGTGCTAAGTATTCCTCTGAAAGTAGAGTTTTAGTGAATGAAGGTTTCTCTTCGCAGAGAGAGAAATTGAACAAGGGTTCAGTTCATGAAGAAGGGAGTTTTGATGAACAAAGAACAATGAAAGTTTCCAAGGATAGTACAGAGGATTGGCATAAAAAATCTATTGAATCCCAATACAGAAAGCATGATAATTCAGACCCGGGATGTTCTCCAAAGGAAAATAACACAAGCAATGTTGGAAGATCTTTAACGAGTGGGCAAAATAAAAGACTTCAGAGAGAAGTTTCAGATTTGGAGTTGGGTGAATTTCGTGATTTCACTCTAGAGGATACACATGCAATGCAAAAACATACCGAGAGGAGAAGTTCCGTCAAAGGAGAAAACAAACCAACAACTTCAGATCACTGGAACTCAGACACAGGTAAAGGAAAGGGGGCTAATAAGATTATTTCAGGATCAAAAAAGACATCTCCACGTCATTCATATGTCGCAGGTGGTACTCCGGATGGAATACCTAAGAGGAAGTCCCTCGAACCTTACCCCCAGCAAAAATCTCAGCAACATCTGTCTCAACAAAATCATCTCAGAGTTGATCAGAATGGTGTTGGACACCTTAATAAGGCATTAGACGTGAGCAGTAAAAGCAGAAAGAATGAAGTTGGAGGGACTCCAGAGACTTATGGAGACAATAATCACAACAAAGTCTCTACAAGTGCAGCAAAACGACATGAAGCAAAATCGGGAGCTGTATCTATATCTACTAGTGAAAGTAACATCCAGAAATCTAATTTTGTTGCAGACCTAAATGGTAGGCGAAAGGGTGGATCTTTGACAGGTAATAATGATGATCAGAAGCGGAAGGAATCTCCTTCAGACGAGATTAGTTGTTCCTACTCCAAGTATGAAAAGAAGGAGCCAGAGCTCAAGGGTCAGATAAAGGATTCCTCCCAGTAAGTATATCGTTCAGATGCAGACCTAGTTTTTGTCAATCCTGTTTTTTGACTCGTGTTTGCATAGTTGTTGATCAAACATAAAATACCATACATTTAATCATGTAGGAAATATATATTCTTTATTTAACTTTTATTTGTATTTTCTTTTCAGTGCCGTATGTTATCTTCAGTAATCATGAACTTTCTCAATCTCTGCTCATACATCACTTCTTTTTTGTGAAGGTACAAAGAGTATGTGCAGGAGTATCTGGAAAAGTATGAGAGTTATTGTTCGCTAAACAAAATCTTAGAGTCGGACAGGTAAAACCTGAAGCATGTACACATACCAAATCAAGCATTCAAAGGAAGTTTCTTTACAAACCGTTTGATGTAGTTCTTTTGGCCTTATGTTATTCTTTAATGTGATGCAATCAACTGATGTATCCTATTAATAAAATGATTTAGGATTAAGTTCAGTAAATTTGGAAAAGAGCTTGAGGCTTCTAAAGGAAGAGACATGGAGAGATACAATGACGTATTGAAACAATTGAAAGATTCTTATCATCAATGTGGAGCAGTAAGTTTTCCCTCTTTTGAATGCTTTCTTTGCTATTTGGCTGTTTGGGATTATGGAGCATCTCAAGCATTGTTTGTGTAGTTCTGCAACCCATTGTGCTGGCATCTCAAGCATTTCAGATAAAATGATCATTTGATTAACATATTACTCAAATCTAAAGATCTTAGAAATCTTCATGGACAAGATTGTCACATGAACTCTAACTGTGCATGTTAAAAGTAGTATGAACTGACATGATACTTGACTCTGCTGCAGTTCAATCGCTGGTTTCTACTTTTATGTTATATATGACCCTTAGGTTTTCAATCAACCCTTCAGTATTGAGCATTGCCTGTCTAATATCTGCTTGTTGGCGGCAAAATTTTTCCCAAACAAAACTTTTCTTGAAGTATAGACTTATAACGCATTTTTGGCTTTTTTGGATGTATAATTATTGTGTCCAGTTCTGATATGTTGAAGTAATATGAAGAGGATTGTTATATTATATTGAGCAGTGTAAACTATATATGAGTGTTGTACTCAGTACTCACGTTAAAACACATTGCTGCAGAGACATAAACGACTGAAGAAAATATTTGTTGTGCTTCATGAAGAACTGAAGGTGATGATTTGACTCCATTTCTTACTATAGAGATCCAATTATTTACATCTGCATATTTCTCCCTCTGTCCCATAAAGTGACACAGACAAAGATATAACAATTGTTCCACAGATTAAGTAATGATAGTAAATTGATGTACTTAAACCATTAAACTGTACCCTTATCATTAATTATACTACGTATTACGGAGTACTTGAGGCTTGCAGGTTGATAGTCGGATACCAAAATACGTTAATAAGAGGCATGTATTGAAACGGAGAATTACTGATTTAGTCAATATGGACAATGGACTACACTTGTGGGACATAAGAGAATAGGATAAACAGTCTATATCATTGTGGGACTTGGGGATCGTTCAATATCCTCGTGCATATTATCCCCTTAAAAAGGCCCAGTTTCTGATAATACAAAGTACTGTCATGATTTGCAGCATTTGAAACAGATGATGAGAGAGTTTGCTGCTTCATATGCGAAAAGTTGACTACCTGGTCTCTCTTTCCAGTTTTGCTTCTATTTGAACTCTGCTTTGCCATTTGGCATCACCTGGAGCAGTTCCCTCTGATGTTGTTGCAGTTGGACTTGATGCTTTAAGGCCATATAACAAGTGACGGACTTCTCAGTGAGAAAATCTGGTTGATATATGGTAGTCCATCTACATGATCTCTGCCAGCATATCTTTTGCTCCGATAAGCAGTGACGAAATGTGGTTTGGTTGACTGATTTCGTGATCTATATTTAGCAGTGTTCCGGGAGCAGTATATACAAGAAGGGGATCGCTGGTAGTGGTGGTGTTGAGTACAACACAAATATAAATTGGATGTAAATATAAAATATAAAGCATAGAAATGGTTTGGTGAACTAGTGAGGCCTCATTTTATAGTTATGATCATTATTGGTTTAGTGTTAATTATTGTAGCACTTCAGGATTGGTCAAAATAACTCTGGTATCTTGTATTTTTAAAGGAAAGCTAATCATCTCATGTAGTTTGGTCGAATTAATCATTTTTTTTAGAATATCCTTCTAAATTTATTTTAAATCTATTTTAGTATATGTTCGTGTTAATGCCAACATCCTTGATTGAGATTTGGGACGGGACTCGAATGAATCACTAAACCATGCTACATTTCATGCTCATTAACCATAGTATCATGCTCTTTTTTTAATGAAAAGAAAAATATACGTAGTACTAGATACAAAAAATGTTACTAATTATAATAGTGCGAACATTAGAAACTTTAATTTATATGACAATATTTACATTCATATCAATTTGAAATCTCCTTCGCCATTTGGCTTTCACTCTAATACTGTTGCATATGGCTGTGATCCTTTGAGACTATGTAACAAGTGTTGGCCTTTGAGAAAATATCTGATTGATATTTGATAATCCATCCACATGGTCGATCTGTTCCAACTCGTTTTTTACTCATCTTCGTGGTCTTGCACCATAAGCAATCAATCATTATTTAATTCAATAGTAGATATTTAAATATAAATACAGTTCAATCAATAATTAAATCCCAGGTTGGTGAAGAAATCGACTAAATTGAATCGCAAAGCTTTACGCTCCATTTCTCATTCTTATATGAAATACTGAAATCATAGTTCTATGCTATGAAAACTACAAAAAATAACTACAAACAATCGGCATTTAAATCAACCTTTTAAAAGAATTGGATTGGATAAGTTGCCTCACAATACATCAGTTTCACAACAGAACCCTTTTTCCAAATTTTAGCAGACATCCTGGAAACTGATTAGTCTATTCATAATTTCTATAAAACCAGCTATTATAGGATCTACATAGTTGATTTATAATCAAATTTTAGAGTTATGATGCGGAGTATTATTTAAATATAAATTAGGATTTTAAAAACTGGGTAGGGAAATAACTAACAAAGATACCGTTAAATATAAATAATCCAGAGATTCAAAAATAAAATAAACATAGTACCAAAAGTTAGCAACCAAAGGAAATTAAATCAGTTAAAAACCACAACAAGAAAAGAAAATATACGAAACAAATGAATTATAAAAAATGTAGGGAAAAACATATCAAACGCACTTGATTTATAGGTGAAGTGATTGTATGAGAGAAAAAGAAGTAGAAAATAAGTATTAGTTACTAATTTATTCGATAAGAAATGCAGTTAAAGAAAGAACAAGTACTGAGGAGTGTTAATGAGCAAGAATGCGGTTGAAGAATGATGAATGAGAAGTTGTGGTCGCCAGATCGAATACTCTGCTACTTTATTCTTGCATGTTAAATCATCCTTAGATACGTGTTATCCATCTACCGATACGTGCATCGAAAATATCTATAATTTCATAATCAAGTCCAGTTCTTTTATTAAATTACGCATACAGACCCAATGCATACATGACATGTATCGTCGAGTATCAATATCGAATACATATCGAATATGCGGATACGATATTGTAGTGAAATATCGATGTATCATAGTTCACCCGTGTATTGGATCACTGACTTATTTCGCTCAATGCACAACAACAGAGCATCAACACACACTATTGTTGATGCTAGGCCGAGGTGGCCAATCCATAGTTGGCGTTGCGGAACTGAAAGTCACTACATTGTGCCTGGTCAAGTCACAATTTGAGACGATTTGTTAGGAAATAAAATATAATCTTATGCAACATTAGCAGTGACATTATTAGTAAATGGTTATCCAAAATGTATTGTATGAAAATTATGTACGTTGATTCAAATTACCATCTACATTGCTTTATATATTTTGGACGAATAAAAATATGTACTTTTATGAGATAAAAATCCAAGAACGGATTAAAAAAAATTCCTGAACAACTACCTATCTACTTCTCAACCAACCTTTTCATTTTGACCGCCACAGTAATATTTTGGACGGATAAAAATATTTACTGTATCAGATAAAAATCATCGTTACGTACCTACTTCTCAACCAACCTCTTTATTTCGACCACTACAATAATATTTTGGACAGATAAACATATGTACTTGATTAGATAAAATATCTTGGAACAGATAAAAAAATCTCTGAACAGCTTCCCACCTACTTGTCAATCAACCACAATAATATTTTGGACAGATACAAATATCTACTTTATGAGATAAAAACCTCGGTACAAATAAAAAAAACATGAACAGTGTGATGTCATGGATGTAAAAAATCCACGACTTTGTTAAAAAATGGGGTTTTTTACGCATTGATGACGTTAGTATGACGTCCTCCGCTCCCCCCAACTTCATTTAGCCTTCCATTTTTTCGTTTTCCTTTTCTTTTCTGCCTGTCAATCCCTCTCTATATTTAACCCCCTCCATAGTGATGGACCCGGGCCGGGCCGGGCCGGGCCGGTTCCGGGTCAGGCCTAGGCCCGGGCGGGCCGGCGGTTCAGGATTGGTGGACCCGGGACCGGCCCGGGTAGCCACCGGGTCCGGGCCGGGCCTCCGGTTTTTTTTTTTTTTTTTTGCTTTCCTAACCCCCCCCCCCCCCCACCCCCCCAAACCCCTCCTAACCATCAAGCCCAACCCGGGTGGAACCCCAACAAATGAAAAAAAATCAATTTGGCCCGGACCCGGCCCGACCCGTTCGCCAAATGTGAGACCCGAGCCCGGACCCGCCCCCCGGGCCTAGGCCCGACCCGGACCCGAGAACCGGGCCGGGTGGCCCGACCCGAGTCCACCACTACCCCTCCACCTCATTTTCACTCTTAACCCCCTTTTTGACCCCCCCCCCCTCCCACCATACACAATTAGGAGTTCAAAACCTCTAAATTTAGCAATTGAACTCCTAATACATCTCCACTACAAATAGTCTACCACTCACTATAAAAGCAACACTTTACTACACTCATTTATATCATTCACAAGTCTCATTTCTATCACTTACAACACTCATTTTTATCACTCATAGTTCGTTGAAGAATGACAGGTGAGCAAAGCAAAATAGTTCTTGTTCATTGGAATGAGATATTGACTGATGTTGGTATGAAGTCAAATACTCCAAATGATTCACTTTTTAAAGTGTTGATGTTAACTACTCAACACATTTTATTTCAAAAAAAAAAACTACTCAACACTTTGTGAGTATTCATGTGATGATTTTGATAAAATAAAAATTATTCAAGGAAAATTTCCTACACACAATAGAGATGGTGTGTATGTTGTATAAATACCGTGGCCCATACATCATGACCAACCACAGAACTAGAGGCGGAGCCAGTATGTGATGAAATGATTACATATACCTCTAAAATAGGACGGGCATTGCTGAACTTTTGATTAACTTCTCTTATAAAAAATTGGAAGATAATTAAAGGGTTCTTTTAAAAAATATTACCAAAGCAATACTTATTTACACAAATATGATTAGTAGTTATTACAACTAGTATCTTTACCCGTGCTGTGCATGGGATAAAACGATTTTGTTTTAATTTTACTATATATAACTGACATATGTAAACTTGTCATATACATGAGTAATTATAACTAACGGAAAATCACTTATTTAGTCGATTTTAACTAATTATGTAAACTTGTCTCGGTCTATATTTTCCAACTAAAAGAGCCATTTTTTTACAACTTTCGGCTAACATTATCTATGTTAGCCGAGAGACTTCTTTATTCTATTTGTTTTGCTTTATTTATTTCCCATGCATTGGATGTTTATTTTGTTTTGGTTGTACTGCGTTTTTCCAGCAAAAAAACTCTTGAAACTAAGACAGGGGATGAGGAGTCGTGTCTGCAAGTCATAGGCTCAAGTAAGCCCAAAGCGGGATCAACGAATTATATGACTTCTATGGAGGTGATTAATTCACAGTCTGGTCCTTGGGCGGACAGTAGAGAGAAGACTTGTTGTCACCTTGTAACCTGTTTTGGTTTGGCCGTTTGGTTATGATAAGTTAAGTCAGTTTCGTTCAAAAAAAACTAAAAGAGCCATGTTTTTACAACTCTCAGTTGCATCAAATGAACATTATCTTCTCAACCATCTTTATCTAAACAAAATAACAAATTGCTCAATACTTATTGTTATCCATTAAATTCCATCTGTAGCTTGTTTTTTTCAAAACCAAGAACTACTCATGTTTGTATTGTATTTATTTAATCATGGGTGTGGTCATTTCTTGAAGATATATATTAGCCCTTCTAGGATTTTGAATTGAGCAAATTAGTATAATAGGCTGGCTGCATAACGCGGTTGATAGTGGCCGATTTATTTTTCATTAGATTGATTTAAAATAAGTGTTATTGAACGAAGAAATGTTGAATGCTTTAGAGTTTTAGTAGGCAATTTTTATCTAGAAGGTCAACTGAATTAAATCTATAAAAGATACTCACGTCAAGTGGTAGGTAATAATCGAAACATAAACATGTCAAACTATGCAATAAAAAAATATAAAATAATGATGCCCCATAAAATAGTACTCCGTACTATATTAATGTTACATTTGGTAAGTAAAATAATCACCCTTTATACAACCTAGCTTATTTATCTAGTTGTTAAACATCACTTTTAGTATACTATATGATTGTTATATATGTAATTATTAAATCTTTCAGAGACATGAAACTCTCGACAAAAATATATCAAGATTTATGTTAATATTTAATATATACACTAAATCAAAAAAATAACTTTTACTTTCATAGATCAGATAAAAAATGTGATTCCAATTGAAAATATCTTTAATTAGAAAGGTGAAAAACACATGGAGTCTTATTTTTTATCTGGGTAAAATATATTTTGTTTTTTTAGCTTTATTATACTACATAGAATGTAAGAAAAATATTTAACGGTGCCGCTTCTGCTCCATGATATCTAAAGAGCACATGTCACTGAAAAAAGATGATATCTAATTCAATAGACATAGGACCCGATACTTAGCTTGTGTAGAAAATACCCGAACCGTGCCCGAGTCCACCCCTAGCACTACTTCAATTTAAGAATGGAGATGGAAAACACCAACTTATGAGAACTTCTTGGAAGCCAAAAGAGACTAGCCACTGCTGGCTTTGAGTATGAAGAAGATGAATTATATAGAATCAGGCGTTGCTGCCCTTGCTGGCTTGCTGGTTCTTTGGCCGAAATCAATCAACTAGCCATTGAAATTCTAGATGACCGAAGAATACTTCTAGGTAGGATTCAACCCTGCTATAGGTACCCCAATTGGTACCCCCAATTTGTAACTCAACCTATTTTTGTGGCTCACAAAAGCCCACCTCAATAAATGAATTGCCCCACTTTAATGAGGTGCTTTTGTGAGCCACAAAAATAAGGTGGGGTACAAATTGGGGTACCAATTGCATTTTTCGGTAGGATTTGCAGGTGCTGGTGGAAGAAGCAGAGAAAGAGGCATTGAATAGGAAGGAGGCAACGGATGTATGAAAGAGGCGTGAAATCAAGGGTTCGAGGGGAATAAAACGGAGCAGCCAAGCCACTGACCTGACTGGCGTTTTAATATTCAGCTTCTTGGATCCAACTAGCTAAATCAACTATGGGAAAAGGTGCAAATAGACCCATGTATTAACAAAAAAAGGTCAAATAAACTCTTATTTAGGAGGTTCTATCCGGCCGTCGCCATTTGGAGTGGTTCCCGGTGGAATTTTTTGATGAAAATTTTTGAGCATCTTATTCATTAAGTCTAGTTTACTCATACCAAATTTCAGCTAAAACTTCAATCGGGAAGGCATTCAAATGAATTCTTGAAAATAATTACGCAGTTAGAAGCGCAGTTATCTTCAAGAATTCATTTGAATGCCTTCCCGATTGAAGTTTTAGCTGAAATTTGGTATGAGCAAACTAGACTTGGTGAATAAGATGCTCAAAAAATTTCATCAAAAAATTCCACCGGGAACCACCCCAAATGACGACGGCCGGACAGAACTTTCTAAATAAGGGCTTATTTGACCTTTTTTGGTTAGTACATGGGCCTATTTGCACCTTTTCCCATCAACCATCTACTATCCACCGTCTTTTTTTAATCGCAACATGTTGAATTTTACACTATTCATATGTTCTACTTTGACTACATTTTATATTATTATTTTATGAAAATTATTTTTTTAAAATTATACTCCATCCGTCCCCTTTTAAATGTCCCGTTTTACCATATTGGGATATCCCTATTTAAATGTCTCATACCTTATTTGGTAAAGTTTGTGTGGCTCAAAATCATTCCTACTTTATTTTTACTTTATCAATTAATATCAACCATACAAACCCACTTTTCTTAAAACTCGTGCCACCCTCCTCCGGGTCATTTAAAAGGGGACAAAGGGAGTATTGTTCAATTCATCTCATTACAAATTTTCAAAATCTAATTTTTAAATTTTATTACTAATAGGGATTATGATATAATTACGGTCAAAGATGTGCGTTAGCAATTGTGAAATGTTGACCATTGTAACTAAAAAAGAACGGAGGAAGTATTTACCAAACAATAATTTTTGCTAATTCAATGGTCAAAATCATTAATTACAATCAAAGAAACCAAAAATTGGCTGATAAGCTAATTTCCAAACAAGACCTGTAAGTGGTGGTTAGGCTTGGACCCAGTTCGGGCCACCCGGCCCGGGAACCAGGTACCGGTTCCGGGCCTAGGCCCAGTTGAGGGAGGATAACGGGGCCGGTTCCAGGATACCCAAAATGAGAACCAGCCCAGCCAGACCAGGCCCAGTTCAGGCCTGTTTTTTTATTTATTTTTTTGTTTGTTTGGGCTGGGTGTTTCCGATGGGTTTGGGGAATGGGGGGTAGGGGATGAAATGATCATGAAAAAAAATAGAACCGGACTGGCCCGGAGAGGTCCCGGGCCTTCACCCCGAGTCCCCAACCTGCAAAAGCCCACCAGGCCTAGGCCTGACCCGGACCCAGCCCAAGTCCAACCCTAGCCACTTTTTGCAGCAAATACACCAGTCCCATTCCAGTCTGATAAACATAGACTACAGAATCTAAGATAACTAGTTCAGCTGAAAAATAAATTCTAGACGCTTACCTGATAAAAGAGGTCCACATACCCACAAGATAAGGAAAAATGTATAGTACAAGAGAATATAGTATTTAAAAGAGATCTAGGGGATTGTTTTAGTTCACATTTGTAACGGACAATTTCTGGTGTAGTTCACAAAAAAGCTTTAAAGTCACTCGAGCATAAACCAACATTGCAAAGGGTAAACTAGAAGGACGCTTTTTGTTTGAGATAAAGAGAATTGAGACACCAAATTGCTTTTTAAATAGAATAATAAAGAGGCACAGTTTAAACAGAACTCAAGATTGTCTAGACAAAAGAGACATAAATGCTTATGTGCTCAGGCCTGCCTATTCTTCTTCTTGGGGCCGGATTTGACAACCTTAAGGCTTCTGTTAACGGCACTCAACCTTGCCAGAGCTGCTTTCTTCAAGTCCGGTCTGTAGTAGTTGTCAGCAACCTGCAAACAATACCAAGTTATAGGCTTTCTCAGTTTTAAAAGGTTTGAGGCGCCCGCTACCGGTAATTTTTATTAAACTTTTCAGGAGCGAGGCAATGACATGCGCCTCACGTAACTTAAGCATACAGATTCGCTTACAATACTTACACAACTTGTACACTATGTTGCACGGAAACGCGAAAATCATGAGGAAACAGGACACAGGAAACGTCAACTTCTACTCAAAAAAGGCTTGTTTGGAGTGTTTCCGAACCGGAAACGTACTCTTTCCCGAGAGTTTCCGTGCTACATAGCTTGTACAAGATGCCTTCTACCCAAATAATGATAAAATTCATATATATATACGAAGTACACACACACACACACACACACACACCACAATTCATCAAAATAAGTAACAATGCAGCAGAAGAAAACTAGGAAACTTGGGCCAATTAATTGACAAATTTACAACATAACCTGGGGGCTGATGTGTTAGCCTTTTAAGGCAAGTGGATAAAATTAGAAATCTTTCACATTATTTTGCAACAAACCACTTTTATTTAGCCACATAACTTTTATTTAGCCAATAGACACTGACTCATATTGATCATGGTACTACCATAACTTTTTATATAAAGTTTGCGGTATATATATTCATGTGAAAGTTTGAAGTACTTATCTCACACTCCTTCAAAGTTTGGGATATTTATATTATTTTCCCCTTATAGGAGAAAGTAATTTAAATACCCCAAACTTTAAACTGGAAAAAGTGGATAGCTTGCTGATGAAATTACACTCTTGAGCATTAAAAAGATAATCAGTTTTTTGAGAACCGTGCACATCATTACATTCAAAAAAAATTGTGCACATTATTTTGTAATCTAATGCACCTTTGTGCTCTACATTTAGACTTGTGTCTGTGTGTGTGTATTTGTATATGATGGTACACTTAAGTTACAGTGTTTCATTTAAAGTTATTTGTAAGTACCAAATTGCTACCACATTTCTAACTTATATGTGTGAAATAAATTACTACAAACATCTCTTGCTACTGCAAGAGAACTCATATTTAACGCACACAACCATGATTCTTACAAAAGACCAATATTTCATTTAATGGATTAAAAAATTATTATAAATGAATCTATGGATCACGTTTAAAATATTAAACAATATTTGAGAAACGATGAAATGATTCCATTACTAAAATAAAAGCAAGATCATCAATCATGGTGGAAGTTTCCCAAAAAATGGCCAAAAGTATAATAAAAAATTGACCTTTATCATACGAGTATATGTTTTTACATGAGATGCATATGAACAACTGTGATATGCTCTGACTTCTTACATTAAGGTGTGTTCATATATATATATATATATATATATATATATATATATATATGAATATATATTGGTGTTCTTATTCATGTCTGGCCACTTGAATTTGAGTTGACTTGGAGTGGTATTTTTTGCTAAAGTTTTGTGAGATGTTCCCCAATGAATTGGAGATCATGTACACCAAATTTTAGCTAATGATTCAATCGAGAAGGTAGTCAAATAAATTATTGAAAATTATTGCAGTTTATATGTATATATTTTGGGGCAGGTATCTTCAAAAATTCATTTAATTAACTTCCTAAATTTTTAACTGAAATTTTGAGGAAATAATCTACACTTCATATAGAAAGTGTTGAAGTGTTCACAAAATTTTATCAAAAATTTTAACTAGGAACCACCTCAAAACGAGGTGGACGGACGGCGGTACTGCCCAGAATTTCCGGACAGGAATACTACTATATATACAGACACACATACCCCGTATATGATACATGGTATAATAATAAATACCTGGTTGGTGACAGCCTTGGCCATGCGGTGGAATTCCTTCTTCATGACAGATTTGTTTAGCAAATTAGCAGGTTTGTTCTGCTTCTTGGTCTTGGTTGTGGCCAGGAGCACAGTTTGATCTTTCCCCCCTTGAATTGTCACAGTTTTCTTGTTTGCTAACCCTATTAATCAATACAGACACCAACAAACATACTATAATTCGTAAGCAAAAAAGTAATGAAAAAGTCATTTCCAGGTCAAAAACCTAAAAACTATGCGCAATTTTTTATGAAAACTAAAAACTGCTTCATCAATATTCTGTGCAAATAGCATAAAACAAACCTAGTTTCGATTTTCAGAAACGCAAGCAGCAAATTTAAATGAACGTAAAACACAAGTCACGGTTAATGGCTAACCAGAGTGCTTGTAAGAGTGAAGATTGTAGAGATTGTTCGGTTCCTTGCTGAAGACAACGCCAGCGGTGCCATTACCGAACTCCTTGACCAAGAAACAATTGTTCTTCTTTACAATCTCCCACACCAGCTGCCCAGGAACTGCCGCCATTTCTGAAGCTTCACAAAGAACAGAAAATCAAATCACAACAAGCCAAAATACAATGCAATACGCGCGCAGTACGAAGGGGCCGCGAGGATTTACCGATATAGAATGGAACCCTGCTGGGGCTTTGCTCAGATGTTGCTGAGGAAGTAGGTCTTAGCCGGGTCGAAGGTGAGAGACAACATTTTTATATATAGTGATTCTACAAAACCCTACCCGGGTTCGAAAAAGGCCTCACCCGAGTCCATTTAGGCGAAAGGACTGTTCTAATTATTTTGACTAGTAATCCAACCGATGATTGTATATTAACATACTCCGTATTAAGGAGTATTGGAGTTTTTTTGGATGGAGTACTCGAGTTTTTTTATATTAAGACGCTTATATCATTAAAATAAGAGATATTACCCAAAATAGGACTACAAATGTTTAAATATGCATAAAAGTTTGTTCAAGATGCATAATAAAGTTTGTTCAATATGCATAATATATTTATGCAAAATTTAATAATATTATACTTTATGATAGTATTTTTAACAAAGAATGATTTTATATCATTTTCATATTATCAATATTTTCTCTATATAAACATATAATTGGTCAAAGTTAGACGTCATTGACTTGAAAAGTCAAATTTGGCTAACTAAAATGGGACGGAAGGAATAGAATATACATAGCATGTACGATACTTTTTAGCATATACAAGAAAATGAGTCAAATAATATGCTTGGGCATTTACGCGCATAGCGCGTCAAGAAACTAGTATGTATATATATGTATGTATATATATATGTATATATATATACATATATATATATATATATATATATATATATATATATAGAGAGAGAGAGAGAGAGAGAGTGTTCTTCTCATCAGGCCGGCCTGACGGGCTGCTCCGTCCGGCCGAGCCCGTTTGGGCACCTTCCCGGTGGAATTTTTTGATGAAATTTTTTGAGCATGTTCCTCATCAAGTCTAGTTTGTCCATACCAAATTTCAGCTCAAACTTCGATCGGGAAGGCATTCAAATCATTTTTTGAAGTTGACTGCGTCAAAATATACATATAAAACTGCAGTCAAATTCAAAAAATAATTTGAATGCCTTCCCGATCGAATTTTGAGCTGAAATTTGTTATGGACAAACTAGACTTGATGAGGAACATGCTCAAAACATTTCATCAAAAAATTCCACCGGAAAGGTGCCCAAACGGGCTCGGCCGGACGGAGCAGCCCGTCAGGCCGGCGTGACATGAAGTTTCATCTATATATATATATATATATATATATATATATATATATATATATATATATATATATATATATATGGGAAAGATCAAGTACAAATTCTGCTTATTGTGCAAATGTTTGTACGATGCACCTTGGCATATTATATAGTCATAAAATAGCAGTTGCACATTAACGTTCAACAAGTTGCACCCTAGAAAAGTTAGGTTTTATTACAAAAATGCCACCTTGCCTTTATATCCTTTAGATCAACTCATCGGATGGCCAAGATAAGTTTGTACTTTGTAAATTAAACATGGTTTGTATTTGATCTCTATTCTATATATATATATATATATATGCTCAAATTATTAGATTTTATTATTAGCAATTAATGTTAATGCCTAAATTAGGATTTGTAATGGGTTAAGTTTTGATGAAAACATTACTTAGTTTTTGTGAATTGTTATTGTGAATTATTTGAAGTTCATTTAGTGAAATTTAATAAATAAGTGTTCGTAAACATATCAAATTATTAGTAGATATAGTTATTTAATAATATTAATTGAACGTTATGTAATTGTAGTGCATTGAATTTTAGTAAAATTGAATATATTAATGCTCCTACGTATGAATTAGTGAAAATATTTAACATAACAAATTGTTGATAATGTTTATGATTTAAAGTTTTTAACCAATATATTTTTTATTCTTATAATATTCAGGCATAATGTATAAGCAAAATAGAAGTTGGATGTATGATAAAAATGCGGTATTGTACGGAATGCAATCAAATTTCCTCGAGGGATGTGGGGAGTTTATAAAATTTGCACTTGAACACCCGGATTATATGAGTGGTGACAAAATCAGATGTCCATGTTCAAAGTGTAGAAATCTCAAATTTAAAGACCCAGAGGATGTTGGGTGGGATTTGTACGCGGAAGGTTTCATTTCCAATTATTATAATTGGACTTGTCATGGCGAACCTTTGGATCCATCTCTCGCTCCACGAATAGTAGGTTCGTCTCGTAACGTCCCTAACGAGATGAGTGGGTGGGGAGACCGTGATCAAATGAGGTGGGACCAAATAATGGTATATGATGCATACGGTCCATCGATGTCTGAGTTCAACCCCCCACAACCATGTAACGATCCTCCTGAAGCCTCGACATCGTATCAAGCAGATGCGGATGAAAATCCGATATTTTATCAATCTTATGTGGATGAAGGTTTAGCTGAGAGATTTCAAGGTGTTTTAAAAGCTGCCGATCAGCCTCTGTATGTTGATTGTGAGGCATACTCTCAGCTATCCGCCGTTACAGAGTTTATGAACATAAAAGTTGAATACAATCTCCCTGAAACTTGCATGTCCAGAGTTTTGCAGTCAGTAGGAGGAATGCTACCGTGTGATCATAGTCTCCCCGATTCATAATATATTACGAGATGAAGCAATATATATCTAAATTGGGGCTTCCTTGTATCATAACCGATGGTATAGATAATATATTTTATTAAGTACCATGTTGTGTAACTTATTTCGAGGTGTAAAATATTTTCAGCCAAAACTTTATAAATATCAGCAGAAACAGTCGATTCAGCCAATTCTAGTGTTACCAAATGGGCTCTAAGATTATCTCATGTTTACTCTCTGGTAAAGTGTGTGGTTCACTACAAGAAAAGTGCACATAGACCGCACATAGACCAATTTGTTTTTGCAATGGCCGCATAACTGTCGTTAAAAACACTATTAACCACACATTCTTTTATTTAACACATACAAAATTGTGGTAAAAGGTCAGAGACGACAGTTTTTAACAGTGGCCAATGTTTTTACCACGGCTGTTGTGGCGACGCACGTAAAACTGACGCAAAACTGTCGTAAATGTTCCTCCTTATGTTTTTACGACAGTTTTGCGACAGTTTTACGTGCATCGGCACAACAGCTGTGGTAAAAACATTGTCCACGGTTAAAAACTGTCGTCTCTAATCATTTACCACATTTTTGTGTGTGGTAAATAAAAAATGTGTGGTTAATGGTGTTTTTAACGACAGTTATGCTGCCATCGCAAAAACAATTGTGGTCCATGTGCAGTCTATGTGCACCTTTTTTGTAGTGGTTGTAAATTATGCTTACTTTATTTTTACTTTATCAATTCAATATGAACTACATACATTCACTTTTCTTAATAATCGCAACACATTTTCGTGTCCCGATGTTAATGGGACGGAGGTACAAAGTACGTAGTACACCCTCCGTCCCGAATTATAAGATACTTTTCGATTTACGATGTTTGACCGACGATAAAGCAAACGGATCCCTGTCCGCACTCAAATTATTTTTAGAAAAAAAAATTACATATTCTGAAACGTTATTAAACCCGCTACAAAACCAATTCAAACTAACTCAAGTTTTGATGTATAAAGTAAGAGATTAAGAGTGATTTGTGTTGACCAAGTGAATAGTAAATATATCTTATAAAATGGGACAGAGGTGAATTGTTGTAGACTTTTTTTTTTAAATTGTAGTGATTAAAATACTTATAACATTGATTAAAATAGTACGTAGTGACTGATGGAATCATAGTTGTGATGCCTATTATATTAGGCGACGATCATTTGGGATAAAAATTAATGAGTGGAGTCCATGTCCATGTGAAATTAAAATTAATGCTGCATAAGTACTACGTATTTTATAATAATAGAAGTTTCCAACTGGTATGAAATATTTTTTTACTGTGAAATGTAGCTTGGAGTTTGAGAAAAATAGTCTTAATCTTGATTGTTTTCAATCTCAAGGTTGACTCTTGGAAGCTTTGATTGTAGTGTTGACCTTTGGTGTTGTAGTTTTGGACTTTGAACTTTGAAGTGGCTCAAAAACTAGTTCTTAAAGAAGGTAGATGGAAAAGATGATCTTCTCAAGTATAGGAGAAAAAGGAATCTTTTAAACTTTCCCACACTTAAACTCCTTGGGAACTTTTGAGCCTATAAATATGAACCACTCTTCACTTAGTATTAAAAGGTGAATGAGAAGAGGGGAGCTCTCGCGCACACAAGAATTCCGGCTTCTAGTTCAGAATCGAAAATTCGCACCCCCCTGCGCGGGCGACCTGCAAGCACGATAGTCGTAAAATTCAGCCAGTTTCAAAAGACAATTTTGCCACTTTTTTTTAAAGCTTAACCCGTTTTTTTAAACATTCTTCTGCCTGAATAAAAAACAGTAGTCACGGTCAAATCCGTGACTACTGCCTTGACTAATTCAAAAATTTGAATTAGTCACGGCCTTAGTCACGGATTTGACCGTGACAACTCCGGTCAATGACGGCGCCGACACTTCGTCTTCCTCGTGTCTGACTACGTTAACTACGACAGTGTAGTCACGGAGTGATTACGCCCTTATATATAAGTAACACTTAGCGAATTTTTCATTCCACTCATCAAAACCCTAAAACTCTCCCTCTCCCTTTACTTCTTCCCTCTGTCCGCCAATCCCTTCGACCTCCACCGTCCATCGCCACCGTCCGTCGCCGCTCTCCACTGTCCGTCGCCAACGTTCGCCGCCGCTCTCCGGTACCTACCTCCATCGATCTTCGCCATCCCTCTTACCTTTTTCATCAAGGTTATGTGTTCTAAATTTTAATTATTTCATTCTTATTTTTAGTATTTCATTTTTATTCCATGAATGCATGTTATTATAAGTATGTTCGCATTAATTTTGTTGAAATACACTCAAATGCATGATTATATACATGATTTTCGGTTTTGGGTATTAATACATGTTTAATATGGTTTAGTTTATATGCTAAAGTTGATTTATGTATGATTCTTTAGTTTTGTATACATGTTTTGTGCAGTAATGCATGTTTAATATTAAATTTTGAAATATGATTTAGTTTATAAATTTATTTAGTTTGTATACATTTTTAATATGATTTAGTTTATTATATGTTTAATATGATTTAGTTAATTATATGTTTAATATGCATGACTATATTTTTTGTGTATATGTTTAATATGCATGCCTAAATATGATTTTGTCCCTCATGAAGCATGTTTAATATGATTT